AATCAAATTTAAGAGAGCACAAAACAAAATGGCGTTCTCTTTTTAAACTTTTTACTCGAGAAATTTTCAAACTTTTTCCTTAAAATTGAAAATGATGAATGAAAAGTACAACATTGTATAGTTTTTATATATGCAGCAGGTTGTAAATTTTGTTTTCTACATAACGCAATATGTATTTCTTTCCCCTTGGTTCTAATTAGCGTACAAAACAAGAAACAAATGTGGGGAAACTCAAACAAAAAAATCTCCAAATTTTAGGAGAAGCAAAAAACTGTTTTGAATGAAAACTATAAACATGTCAAAACAAAAAAGTATCCCCGGCAGGGTGATATTGCATATGACGAATAATAGACTATAATTTGTTAAACAAATTTAGTTATTTAGTTTAATTGCAGTCATAACAATTAAGTAAAAACGTGAATTTTTTGTCTTTACGCCTTTTTGCATTTATCAAATAAACCCACTTGTAGTTACGTATTTTTGTTTTTTGTGTAAAACTTTGCCAATACATGTAGTTTATTGACATTCACAATATTCATTCAAAAAGTCAATTTTCAATTTTTTGTTAGTTACGCCTTTTTGCATTTTAGCTAACGATATGTGACATTTGAATTTAGAAAATATAAAAATGTATGAAAAAACAATATTTTCAGAAAAAATGGAAAACATGAATTAAAAGTAAAGTTCATACTATAGTCAGGAGAAAAGAAATGTTACCATTTTGGTCTAAAACAAGAAATAAAAAACCCTGATGACATGAATTAAGAATAGTGTTGTATGAACGAGTTAATTCATGTACGTAATTCTGAGAACGAACCACGTTGTTCGAATGCCCATCAGAACATGGCATTACCTTGTCGTATCATTTGGGAACCAAGTAGGTAATTAACATGATTTTTTAGTCAATTGAATTTTGTCAATACCAATATAACGTACATATCTAGAATAATGTCTTTAATAGTTCAACTTTGTTCAGTTATATTCTTTCATTGATTTCTACGGATATATTTTATAATGTTAATGTAAATTAATTTTTTTTAACGGGTGGAAACACAGTTTCGCGATGTATGGACGAAATGTTGTGCTAGCCTATATAAAAATTTGTATAATAACAACAATTTTTTTACAGACTTCAGTTAATTTTATAATGTAAATTTCTTAAAAAGAATTGAATATAAATATATAATTTATTCTGAGACTTGAAGTGGATTTTGACGTAGAATATTTTATTCTTAGACATTATATACCTAAAATAAAGTTTCATATTACTTTAATGCACTTAGTCGAAAAAATACTGGGAAATGTTTTCGTAGAAAAATACAAGAACATTTTGAATTTTTGGTTTTAAATGTATGACTATATATTCGGTATATACATTATATATACAGATTTCTCTTGTTCAGTGACTTATGCTAATTTTTGAGCCGCTTAACAGTGAAAAATTGAAATACTAATAAATTTATGGAGAATATTTTTGTCTCTTATACTATCCTTCTAAAACGACATCTTGTGGGAGGAATGGGTAAAAACTAGTAATAAGTACGATATTAACCCTAAAATCAGTTTTTGTCTTTTTAAGATTTTTTACGTTTAGACTGATTTTTGAATTTTAGTGTATTATGGCGAACATTTCTGTAGAATATTCTGTGCAGCATTAATCCCGTTTTGAATGAGTTTTCAATCACTCCTGGAAAAGGTCGGTTGAGGGTTAAAGTTGCATACCAAAATATTTTATCAGTAATATTGCCCAAGACACTATATACCTAAAATGCAAGGATTTCAAGAAATCATAATTCGAAAATTCTCAACATTCTAGAAAAGGGGGAATATTGTCCCCCCTTTTTAGGTTACCTCCCGATGTAAATTTTCAAAACCCCGATACACGTGTCTTCTTTTTTAGCCCCTCTTTCATAATCTGTTGGAATTTCCCGGTAATTATCAAAAAAATTCAAATTTGTCGCACAGTGTAATGTTTTTTTTATTCCAAATAAAAAATATTTTATTTTAATATACACAATTAAAGGATTTTAAAATCGTCATGCTCAGTATTTTTTTCTTAAGAAACATGAATTATCGCCAATGTCAAAAAATCGCATAGACAAAAAGCTGTATTTCTGATTAATAAATGAACTTGGCTTGATGAAATTTTAAACAAAAATAGAACTCTTTGAAAAGCCACATAGCCCAATATGCATGATGAGCCGCTTAACCAACGGCGAAACGCGTCGCATAATGGTGGGTATGTAGGTTCTTCTCCTGGCTTTCCTTTTCATTGCAAAATTTAGATCATCCAGCTCGACTCGAAAGAGTATAAATAATCACTTAAAAAAAAAACAAAAATATCTAATAATATTTGTTGAAAATTATTCAAGACGTTGTTTGCCACATTTATCTATTTTAGTTATTTCAATTAAAAAAAATGCCGACTACTAGAGCACTTACCCAGTATATTGTTTCCATTCTATAACCAGTTATCGCATCAGCAGAAAAGGAAATTTGTATTGGCAAATAAATAAATTATTTTCACCATTAATATGTGAAAACTGTGAACTCAAGCCGGCACAAACAACTTTGTTGAACAATGGAAAACAACTTGTAATCGACATGAATTACCCTGATATTGGCAATATTCCACATTTAGTTGGTGGCATCTTGGAAAACAGGGGGAAATATCGTTTTAAACAGATTTATTTTAATTGGCTATACGAAACTCCCGAACAATGGTTATTTAATGAAGTTAATTTCCCGGCGGAGCTGCATATTGTATTCTATCACAATAAATATAACAATTTTCAAAGTGCTTTAACTGAAGATGAAGTCGTTGCAAAATGTGAATTTGATTCAAAGTATGGTTATTCGGGTACAATGCTTGCCACCGATGCACCCTGGCCAACAACAACATGTAAAACCAAATTTATTTGGATTGATGTTGAGAAAATTCTTCAAATACATCCGGATCAAGTAAGAAGTGTAGCCTATATTAATACATATTTCCCATGGTTTGTTTTTATATGTTTTTAGGTTCTGGAATTAGCAAAATTACAGAATTCTGTTGGCCTCCCGCAATTTCCCCATGGTTTAGAATATTCACGGCCTACAATACCGGTTTATAGATCATTAGATCCAAACGGTAATAATATTGAATATGACAGTAGCTTGCGACCTGAATCAAGTGTGTGGTATATACTTTGTATGTTTTATTTTGTTATTTATTTATATACATAAACCAAATTAGTTAATTCAATAATAATTTAAATGTAAAGCTAGTAAAAGAGAGTAAGTAAAACATTGATATTTATTAAAAGAGGTCGAAAAGAGAGTAGTTTGACTAGAAAGCTAGTTTGACAGTTCCACGCTGAGCATTTAATGAATGTTACTGGGTAAATTTCTTCTAGTAAGATTTATCTCGCCGTTATCAGCCGTTAATTTTAAATTTAGGCCCAAGTCAAAAATATATATATTCTTTGATTTTATGAATTTTATTTTTTAATCTTCATTGTATGCTGTCAAAATCTTATTGTACGATGTCTGTTTACTTTTCTCAGTATTATTGCAAAAGGGAATAAAACGGCTTACTCTCTGAAATGAAAAATGTTGCTCAAAAAGTCGTTTTCTTGAAAAAAAGTAGCAAAGAAAAGTAAATTTGCCAATACGTAAGTAAGAATTTCCAAAACTACCTCCATATCTCAGCCCTATAGACCAATTCTGACGCAACCAAAATCTAGCTCCATACTAAATTTTGGTATCATTTATTAACCTTTGTGCAATTGTTATAATTATTTCGAAAAGAATTCAAATATAGGTTCCCCAAATCCAAATTTAGTACCACTTAGTATACATTAATATAAGTTTGCATAAATACCTATTTTAACAATCATAAGAACGAATTTCAATAACATTTCACATACCACAAACTTAACTCAAAATTTCAGGGTTATGTCGGTTCACCTAAATCCAATTTGTATGAGATTTAGTACCACTTAGTACACATAAGTACAAATTTCCATTACTGCCTATATCATGCAATCCAATCTAATTACCCACTTTCAAGATTCCAGCTCTATCGGTTCACTCTTAATCCAAATTTAGTGCCATTTAATAGACATTTCCAAAACTTCCTACATACCCAAATCCAACACCTCAACAGTGATCCACATGTCAAAATTCCAGATCTATCGGTTCAGCTAAATCCGAATTAGGTACCATTTAGTACACATTAGTACGAATTTCCAAAACTACATACTACCTACATACCCCACTACTACACCCCAACAATGTTCCTTACTCCAAATTTCAGGATCCCAGCCTGATCGGTTCACCCAAATTCGAATTTTACCAATTATAGTACGATTTAGTACTTTTCGTACACATAAGTAGAAAATTTCAAAAACTATATATCAAATTTCAGTGTTCCAGCTCCTTTTGTACCAATTAAAATATGTACCAAATATAGTAACATATAGTACGTTTCGTATACATGAGTACGCGATTTCAAACTCACCTCCATATATCGAACCTACTTCTCAACCTTAATTCGCATTCTATATTTCAAGTTTTTAGCTTTATCCATTCACATGCTACGAACTTTATTCACACAAACAAAATTTAGAACATATTAGTACTTTTCGGATACTTAAAGTTCGAATGTCAGAAAAAAACCCTTTGCTATATCTATTCTACACTCCATCAATAATTCTCAATCCAAATTCCAGAGTTCTAGCTCAACCGGTTCGCCAAATACAAATGGTACCACATTTAGTACATTCCGGGCCGTTGTAACCAATATTTGTAAAACCAATATTTCGATGAGGCACATTTCTGCCTGAGGGTATAAAAAAAACAGTAATATATGATTTTTTAAATAAATCCTTAATTTAGCCAATACACTTTATTCATTATTGAATTTAAAATTCAAAATTATTACAAAACTAAATACTGATACAATAAAACTTGTACAAAAAAATCAATAGTCTTTCTTTCTAAAATATATTTTAGTATTGTTACGAAGCCATAACTTCCACATTTGGCGATTTGACAGGTGGCAAAATCGTCTCTTGATCTTTCACTGTCACGTTGGAATCGGGAGGCTCTTGAATGTTGGCCTTTTCTTCTGTTTCACGTTCTTGTGCGATGTTGACATACTTTCGTTCATAATTGTCTTCATTAAACCATTCCTTGTGAGATTCCAAATAACTGTAATTATAATAATACAGTGTTAGTATTAATAAAATCAAATTAGAAAACACACAAATGTTTGTGGTAAACCTCATTCAATAAAAACGCGATTTAAATTGACAATTACAGAATTATTTGGCAATAATTCCAATGATGTTATTTCTTCTCTTATCGTAACAAAAACACTCAGAATTATTGTCAAAAACCAAAACAAGTTGAAATAATTGATCATTTTGGATCTTTTTGTTTGGAAAACACTTGACTTGTCCAATGAACAGCTACTAAAAGACTACATAGCAATTGTCAAAAATAAAAAGAGAAATGTATAATTGCAGGTAAACGTATCAGCAATTGACAGTCTGATAAGAATTTCAGTAAATCCACCAGTTGCGCAAATACACGTCGTCGCACTCGAAAATATTTAATAAACATATCGTATGTACTTCCACACAAATACTTACTTCACAAATGTATCCAAATGTTGTAGAATTATTTTCAATTTTTCATCACTCATTGTGGATGCATTTAGAAATTCTGGGAGTTTAACTATACAATGGAGGTAATGGAGAAAATGTATTAAATGTAAGGCCGTATAATTTATAATCAGACTGTTTCATTACGTACCTATAAGTCTGGCTAAATGTGGTGCTCCGAATATCATGGAGGGTGCCGAGGGGGCTTTTGATGGTAATATACGCCATGATAAGACATTTTGTAAAAAATCACGTATCTGTGGTGAAATGGGTGCCAGGGATTTCAAATGATTTAATCCAGATGCCGGAATATTGGTATTTAATGGTGTAGCTGCACCCGCATTCGTGCTAGCAATACTGGCCAAACAATTCTCCAATGTAAAATCGCATTCTTCGCTGCGATGTGATCTCAATTTTCTACGTTGTGGTTGTTCTTCTTGTGGTGTTGTTGTTGGGTTTGGATTGCTGGAAGCGTCTGTTGTATTTGTTGAGTTCTGCTGTTGTGCTTCACCACTGGGATTTTCTAATGGCACATTGGATGCGGACGAAGTCACATTACTTGAGGAGCTAGCATTTGTTGCATCGTTTGTATCATTTTTAATGTTGAACCATTCAAGGGAAAAGGCAGGTGCCGGGACATATGTGAATGAATTTAAGTTCTCTTTCGACAAATATGACAATGCATACTCCCTTTCCTCCTTGTACAGCAAATAATCAGCAATGGTAAAATCGAAATATATACGCAAGCCATCGGCAACTTCTTTTAGTAAAGCAACGCTGAAATTAAAAAATATAAGTATATGTATATATATGAGCGTCAAGAGATAACCGTTCTAAATTATTATATGCGATTTTTACTGGACCCTGAGATTAGGAAAGTTCTAGTTGACTAGTATTGAGAAGAATACTAGTTGGATTTCCTATAACCTAGTGAAAACAAGTGATGTTATACGGAAAAGCTGAATATTCAATTCAAACATTGGGGGAGAGTTCGATAAGAAAAACATGTGAAAAAAGCTTAAATTCGTCCATCCCATAAAAAGTGGACCTATACCGACATTTCAAAAACCGATTTTTGTAAATCATAATGTACACCAAATACAAATTTCAGCAATTTTTAATTGACATTTTCCTAAAACCACCAAAAAGTGGACCGATATTGGCAACGCATGATAGGGTGCAACATCCCCAAAACACTGCAATTTAGAGAGGGCACAATTATATGAGGCCATCACCAACGTACCCAGGTTTTATTTCGGGGAGTTGGGTGAAGCTTCTGGTTCAACATGAAAATTATCATTGCAGAAAAAAATCTGGCGGAAAATTCGGCCAAAACACCCAAAAACTAAAAATTGGAGAGGGCACCGTTACATAGGGGTTACCAGAAATAGTGGACCTATATTTAAAATTTTTAGTGGAGAAATTTGGTACCCAATTAGAACCCAATTTCAAAGAATTCGGTTGATTTTTTTCAACCGAATTTAACCCAATATACCGAAAATTTCAGGGTACCCTTATATGGGAGCTATGCCTAAACGTGGACCGACACAGCCCATCTTCGAACTTGACCTGACTGCAGACAAAAACGACTCTATGCAAAATTTTGGCGATCTATCCCAATTCGTTCAGAGGCTAGAGTGATTACAACAGACAGACGGACATGCTTAGATCGTCATAGACTTTTACGCCCATCAAAAATATATGAGTTGGTAATGATTATTTCCATGAATTACAAACGGAAAATCAAAATTAATATAAAAAATTATCAACAATGGCACTAAAGACAATTCTTCTGTCGACTTAGACGACATTTTGGAGAATATACAAAAGTTTTCAGGAAAACGATTCTGACTTAGATATAGTTCTCATATAATTTTGTCCAATGGTGAACACAAATCCAAAATGGGCATGGTATTCTTCCTAATAACTTACGTTGATATAATTTTTTCAACATCCTTTTCCTTTTTATCAGTGGCCCGTTGTTGTACAGCACGTCGTCGTGTTGGGCCCTCTGGTTGATTGTTTGCGAAAACCATTTTCAAAGCTGTTTGCTTGACAAATTTCTCCAATATCGAAACAGCTGGATTTCGGGATGGTAATGCATGGTGTTTTCCATATTTTACAATCATGTCATGGTCATATTCCAAATATTGTCGCAAACGTTCACTAATACGTAACATAACGCGGTCCTCATCGTGAAAACTTTCGATGGAACTGCAACATGAGTCGGTTTCATCTGAAATGCACGGCAATGAAATTTGGTTTATGTAACATGAAAGCAGCGAGACACAAATATATAATGACAGTCTATTAGTTATTATAATGATAAAATACACCAACAAATAACGCCACAGAATATACGAAATAAATTGTTTAAAGTTCACCAAGCATTGTATTTTTTTTTCTTTTGAATGCCAATGCGGTTTAGTAGATAAAATTTTAATCGCACTGTAAATTATTTTATGTATTTCTATTTTCTGTTTTTTGTTGGCTTATTTAATACATAAAATATCACTTTGTTTTACTTTTATAGGTACAATTTAATGTCCCAATTTTCATGTACATTTTAGCGTCATTTGCTTTACATTGTCAGATGCCAATAGAGTAACGATATCAACATTTATCTACGTAAAACATAAAACTGTTGGGTGTTTTGTATTTGTTCTTGCACTGAATGCAGATGTTTTTTTTCGAAATATTTAGGGGGTGTGTTACGCCTGGTGCTTACTTTCGTTTTGTTTCAGCACATATATACTACATATATACTATTTTTGTTGTGGTATATACTATTTTGTTGTGCGCACATTGACCCACATTTCTATGCCCCAAACAAACGGTTGGTATGTTGTTGAAAAATAAGGACAATGCTCTGCTAGTGTTGTTTCATCAACCACCACCACAATCATGCCAGCCAACAATACTCACCATCTTTCATCGAATAGCCTTCATTTTTCTCGAATGTACTGCCAGAACTAAAATTATCCTCTGATAAACCGCGTGGACGAAGTTTGTTGGGCGATGTACTTGCATCAGCGGAATCTTCCGAATTAATGGATGTTGTTTTGCGTGACCTCTTCTTATTTTTGTGTTCTTTGCGATATAAATATGCTCCTCTAAAAATAGAAAATAATTATCATGTAATGAATAATTTTCTAAAAAAAGTAGAGTCGTCTGTGAAGCCTTTCTACTTACAACTGTAGTTGGGCCTTTTCTGCTAAGTCTCTTTGAAGTTGTCGATTTTCTTCGGTGTCCTTTAGAACATAATCCGCACTGACTTTGCGGTCCCATGAACTACTCCAACCTTGAAAATGAACTTTGTATTGAATGTGTTTACGACCTCGTTTATCTTTGATTTCGTATGTTCCTAAAATCTGTAACAAATAAAAATAAAAAATGCTGAACCATTAAAAAATCTACACATTTAGCGAAATATTGATCTTAGCTTTAAGTATGTATACCGATACGGACATATCTCAACTAGCTGAGTTGATCTAGACATGTAATTTGTAAACACGACACAGGCCACAGATATAGACCAATCTTCACCAAATTTTGCATGTAGTATAAGTTATGGCCAATGAATACCCCTACTGCTTTTGGTAAAAATGGGTTAATATTTAGGGGATGAAATGAACCAAAAACTTTTTTCTATGATTTTCTGGTCTAAACGACGTGAATTTTTACATGGCGAAGGGGATCGGGCAAAACAATAAACATGCCTGTTTTGATAAAGGTCGGTCAATATTGGGTTGGGTCAAATGGATCCTGACTTTTATGTGAAAAATGACAAAATTATAATTCAAATTTTGTATATATTAGCGTATATATTTACCCCTGAAGGACATAGATCCGAGAAGTTTATATTGGAAAAGGTCAACCAAGTGGAGTGGTCGGTAAAAGTAAAAATTGCTGTACACAAATTCAATTACCCTATTGTAAATACTTACAATAGGCGGAGACTCTCTGCAATGTAATTTTTGGCTGATATAGGCTGTCTGAAATAACTGAAACCTTTGCACACTGTTTTTAAAACATGTTTTACAAATGACACTGCAGCAACATTACTGAATCTCGTTTCTTGTTTTAGATGTTCAGAGTTAAAAGAGATTTCTTTGAATGCTAAATACTATAGCTCTCAGACCATACAATCCGCTATATTTCACATTCTTATATTTACTATTCGAAGAAAGGAGCAAATTTGACGTTAAGCTTAGGGACATAATTAATGTATTATAGATTCTTTTGATGAAATTATTAATATACGATGCAAAATTGTTCAACATGATGCTATAGTTTTTTGCGTATTTTATTTCATAGTCTGAAATCCGTCAAATTCACGGATCACGTAAACCTAGTGTTAAAGAAGATTTTTTTATTCCAAACTTTAACCACAGCATTGCCTTAATAAATTTTAAAAGGCACGAGAAAATGCAAGCGTTTCAGAATTTGGACACCCATATGCCTATATGTAGTAAAAATTTTAAAATGATACAGGAACATGCCCTATACCCCTTGTCCGAACAATAAATTCATTTATGATTTTAAATTGCTCATTTTTTTATAAAGGTATGAAATTATTATAAGAGAAATGGTATTTTTTCAAGTCTTCGGATTCCTATGAGAAAAGCTAAACACATACATTAGGACCACGGATATATATACATCAAAAAAAAAAAATCGAGACTTTTGTTGTTATTAAGCGTGGTTTTCTTATATGAATGTATTTTATATAATAAACTGTTTTCGTATATGGGTGAATCATTTTCTTATGTCTTATAGGTATAAGATGTTCTTATATCCGTGGTCTACTATACTTCATTATAGGTACATTAAAATCGGATCGAGCTAATGCATAAATACAAATATTTTAAGTTCCACCCTAGTTTATTATTTTTAAAAAAATAATGCAATAAGTTAAATTTATTGATACTTATAAACATACAATGCAATAACAATAAAATATAGAAACATATAAGGCCCACTTTAAACTATAATGTATTGTTTTAATTTTAATGCTTTGTGTATATTTATTAATTCTCTCATGTCCGAAATCCTGCAACTTCCATGTAGAAACAATTCCATACATATCAACACATTACCTTTGAGTCATACAAGACTTTGGCTTTGGAAGCGTCCGGTTCATAACAAAGAACTTTTTCACCTTTTTCGAAATACCGAGATCTTGGACCACGTGTTGATACCATCTCGGGATGTTTCAACAAATTTTATTTCACTTAATTTCAAAACAAATGTACTACAAAATTTATCTTCTTTTGAGGACAAAGCCGCCGCCGAGAAATTTCGAGTAGAAAAACAACAACAAACATTTGATAAAAACACAAACACTGCAGAAAACCAAGACCAGCTGTTTAATGCTTCTTCTTGAATATTCTCTTTGGCATGGTTTGCAAAAGCATGCTCTCTCTCTCTTTTGCCACCCTTCCAATGTGAATTTTCGAGAGCATTTTGTGTTTTGTTGATAAACAAACATCTGCTACAGTTTGATAGTCATTGGAAGAAAAATGTTTGGTCGTTGTTAAGGGGAGTTTGTCGACACTATTGAATTTAAATAAAATGTGAAACTACATACATATGGATACATGTGCGTGTGTATGAATGAATGTACATATTTAATAATGAACGTCATTATCAATTGTTTTTTTTATACGCACATTCTTGATTAAGTTTTGTCAACTAAACCGCAACTACATACAATACTATTTATGGGAAAGGAATTATGTTCGGGGTATTTCTGGATAACAATGTATATATTTTTATACATGTGTGTTTTAGAGGGAAAATCCCAGAAAAATCAGCATTGTGCAATTATGCTATTCGTATATTTGAATATATGTATGCACGCAATGTGTGCATTATATTGATGTATACTTCGTCCCAGAATCCTAGCAACGATTGTTGACATAAATTTTGTTGTGCATGTTTTCTGCACAATATAATTCTAATACAGATATGTTCTTTTAAAGACATAATAACCATCTACTCAGAAAATTATTCATTTCTTTGCCATCGAATATAGTAAGGGGTTCCAATCGAACGCAAATCTAAATTGGGGTCGATCGCTACTTTAAATCGGTGTAATGGCTATTTACATCCATCCTCAGAGACAAAACTCGTTTTTAACTTAATGATGACATGTACCCGTGCTAGAAATAGCTTTGTCGAATAGCTACGTCAAATCATTAGTCTATGCGGAGCACCTTATTCTCTTCACAGCCATGGGCTGTGGTCGAGATTTGGCTCCCAGAGGTTGACCCAGCTGACGCTGGCGCCTGCTTTTTACAGGCTATCCTTCGACAGTCCCTTACTCTCAGTTTTCGTGGATGATAGTGTCAGCGCTCAGTTTATCTTAGGGGGTGCTGATGGCTCAGACGTCCAATCCACCAACGTGGTGGTAGTTTAGGAAACCTTTCAATCAATAAGTCCCTCGCAATATCACTCGGATAGTTACTGGAGAACTTCGGAATAGATTTGTGGTCCCTCTTGATCAAAAGGAACTTCTTATCCGTTATGGAAAATCGAAAATACAGGAAATTTCCAGTAATCAAAAATGTTTTCTCTTTTCCCTCTGAAAAATTTTACCACGGCGGCAGACAAATGATCGTCATGACATTTCAATATTGAGTCACTGCATATCATTAATACTATTGAGTTGTTGCTTAAGAAAAATTGGCTATAGTTTAATATACATTTTAATTCCCAGATATATTAGCTCATAACCTTTACAATTAATCTGAGGTCTTGACAAAAACCTCTACATTTATATATTAGCAGGTATAGCAAATGTATTTAAAAAAGTTAATATTTTTACAAATTATATTGTGCACTTAAAAAGAGTATGCGATATTGTCGAATAAACAAAAATAAAATATGAACATCTACATAACGTGATTCACACGTTTCCAAATTGAAATCACACCAGTACGCTTTACTTGCTAATATCAAATGAACTCATCTATTTGATGATTTATTTATTAATATGGAAATATAATTTATTTATAATAAATTTTATACATACGTATGTACATATTTATTCATGTATGAAAGGGCATCGTTTCTACAATGTTCCCAAAATTGCCGGCTGTAATGGCCCACCCCAAAACAAGAGAGCATTACCACTAGCACTCGTTTGCTCTGTAATTACAATAAAAATGTATTTGCATTTTATTCATAAATTAAATTATTCATGAAAAATGCAGAAATCTCCAGTAAATGACTACATAGTATATTCATGTTGTTTATCATATAAGAATTTATTGATTTTTATTATATTTGCAACAAATTGCCGAAAAAGTCGCATAGAAAGAAAGAGTGAGAGAGAGACAGTTGCAGAGTAGTGTGAGTAATGTGCTCTTGAAAATTCGAGACCATATGTTTATTAATGCCCCACACACAGTTTGAATAGCACCGTTTGATGATAAATGCAACCCTGTAAATTTTGTTGGCAATTTATTATTTTTATTCTTTTAATTAAAAAATAAATTAAACCACATTAATTATCACTTAAACAACTTTAAAAATAATAATTTACACCATAATTAAATATTATATATCCTAAAATTGTACTACAAACACCCCAATTGAACAACAATACCCACAAACTCAACCATATGATGGCTGTCAGTGTCGACGGAAGTCCGGGTAGTTTGTTCCAGAACATTCTAGTGTTTTCATGCATTCATTCAACTGTGTATAAATTCGGTTGCAAGCGTGTACCCGGCATTAGTCTTGTAACAGAACTTGAGCAAAACGTGACAAAGGCAAACAGCCAAACCAAGAAAAGAGGAACAAAGTCAAAAATTCTTTGATAGAACACACGGTGCATAGAAACAGTGATCTTTGATTGCGAAAGAGAAATTATTTTAAAGAAAAGAAAAAGTAATTTTTAAAATTACAACACATATTTCTGAATTCTTGTAAAATAATACAAAAACACACAGCAAAGGTACGTAAAATATTGCCGGGATTGCACAATTTCAAAATAAAAACTGGAATATAGCATCAGTGATTTACAAAGGTCGAAGTTTAAATTTAGTGGAAATTGCAAAAAATGCTTAGAATTCAAAAGACGCTTTTTTGTGGATTATGAAATAATTAAAACAACTTCCATCAAAACTAAAACAAAAAAGTGAAATTGATTTGAATCCCAAATCAATTTTCTTGTGTAATTCATAATTTTTAATGGTGACTCATGTGTCGCTAAAATATGGGTATAGAAGATTTTCATTTTTTTTTTCCAAAACACCCCCTATATTCTATAGATTTAGGGCAAGGTTATTTTGTAATGGAAACAGATTTTACCAGCATACATATTATATTCTAAAAAATCCAATAAGATTATTTAAATTTCCTCTCGTATTTATTTTTATTATATGTTGTAAATCCCAAACATGGCCCATTAGATCTTCAAATTTTTTACCAAGAAATTTAATTTTTTTTAATCTTTTTTAATCCCCCACCCTTTTTCAAAACCACATTTCACTAACCCCCACGTGTTTTTTTTTTCTTCCTCTTCATTCCAGATGCCAGAAGAAGTTGAAACATTCGCTTTCCAAGCTGAGATTGCTCAGCTGATGTCATTGATCATCAACACATTCTATTCCAACAAAGAAATCTTCTTGCGTGAATTGATTTCCAACGCTTCCGATGCCTTGGATAAAATCCGCTATGAATCATTGACCGATCCCTCGAAATTGGATTCTGGCAAGGAATTATATATCAAATTGATACCCAACAAGACTGCTGGTACCTTGACAATCATCGATACCGGTATTGGTATGACCAAATCTGATTTGGTCAACAATTTGGGTACCATTGCCAAGTCTGGCACAAAGGCTTTCATGGAAGCGTTGCAGGCTGGCGCTGATATTTCTATGATTGGTCAATTTGGTGTTGGTTTCTACTCTGCCTACTTGGTTGCCGACAAAGTCACCGTCACCTCAAAACACAACGATGACGAACAATACGTTTGGGAATCATCTGCCGGTGGCTCTTTCACAGTGCGTGCCGACAACTCTGAACCATTGGGTCGCGGTACCAAGATTGTTTTGTACATCAAGGAAGATCAGACTGATTACTTGGAAGAGAGCAAGATCAAGGAGATTGTAAACAAACACTCTCAGTTCATTGGCTACCCCATCAAATTGCTCGTCGAGAAGGAACGTGACCAAGAAGTTTCCGACGATGAGGGTGACGATGAAAAGAAGGAAGAAGAAAAGAAGGATATGGAAACCGACGAACCAAAGATCGAAGATGTTGGTGAAGATGAAGATGCCGACAAGAAGGACAAGGATGGCAAAAAGAAGAAGACCGTCAAGGTTAAGTACACCGAAGATGAAGAATTGAACAAGACCAAGCCAATCTGGACTCGCAATCCCGATGATATCTCTCAAGCCGAATACGGTGAATTCTACAAATCCCTCACCAACGATTGGGAAGACCATTTGGCCGTCAAGCACTTCTCAGTTGAAGGTCAACTTGAATTCCGTGCTCTGCTCTTCATCCCCCGCCGCACCCCATTCGATCTCTTCGAAAACCAGAAGAAACGCAACAACATAAAATTGTACGTTCGTCGCGTCTTCATCATGGACAACTGTGAAGACCTCATTCCTGAATACTTGAACTTCATCAAGGGTGTCGTCGACTCTGAAGATTTGCCCTTGAACATTTCCCGTGAAATGTTGCAACAGAACAAAGTATTGAAGGTTATCCGCAAGAACTTGGTCAAGAAGACCATGGAATTGATTGAAGAACTCTCCGAAGACAAGGAACTCTACAAGAAGTTCTACGACCAATTCAGCAAGAACTTGAAATTGGGTGTCCATGAAGACAGCAACAACCGCGCTAAGATTTCCGACTTCTTGCGCTTCCACACATCCGCCTCTGGCGATGACTACTGCTCCTTGGGCGATTACGTTTCCCGCATGAAGGAGAACCAGAAACACATCTACTTCATCACTGGTGAATCCAAGGAACAAGTTGCCAACTCTGCCTTCGTTGAACGTGTCAAGGCTCGTGGCTTCGAAGTTGTCTACATGACCGAACCCATTGATGAATACGTCATCCAACACTTGAAGGAATACAAGGGCAAGCAATTGGTCTCTGTCACCAAGGAAGGCTTGGAATTGCCTGAAGATGAAGAAGAAAAGAAGAAGCGTGAAGAGGATAAGGCCAAATTCGAAAACCTCTGCAAGCTCATGAAATCCATCTTGGACAACAAAGTCGACAAAGTCGTCGTTTCCAACCGTTTGGTTGAATCTCCATGCTGTATTGTAACATCACAATTCGGTTGGTCTGCCAACATGGAACGTATCATGAAGGCTCAAGCTTTGCGTGATACCTCCACCATGGGTTACATGGCTGGCAAGAAACACTTGGAAATCAATCCCGATCATCCAATCATCGAGACCTTGCGTCAAAAGGCCGAAGCCGATAAGAACGACAAGGCCGTCAAGGATTTGGTTATCTTGTTGTTCGAGACCTCCCTGCTCTCATCTGGCTTCTCCCTTCAAAGCCCACAGACCCATGCCAGCCGTATCTACCGCATGATCAAGCTTGGTCTCGGTATCGACGAAGACGAACCCATGGCTGCTGAAGAAACACAAAGTGCCGGTGATGCTCCTCCATTGGTCGATGATACCGAAGATGCTTCTCACATGGAAGAAGTCGATTAAATACTTAACCCCCGCCCTTCCTCTTAACGTATAAGTAGCTTTTAAGAGTTTGCCACATACTCGACAGACACAACAGACTGTTGCAAGTAATTCCATGGATGTGTGGAACACATTAATGTAGTAGTTTTGTGTTTCTGGATCCATTTGTGTTGTATAAAATAGAAGAATTGACTTTTTACTCATCATTGCCGCGTTGTAAGCGGTGGGTGCATGTAGCAATGTGCCCCCCATTCATCATCACTCGTACATCTTTCAGTCAAATTCATATTTTATTTAAATTTACTATTTTTTTGTAAGATCGCAGTTTCTAAGGTTTGATTTAAAAAAAAAAACTGAAATAAAATCCAAGCAACTATTTATGGATAACTATAATTTTTATTTTGTTTTATTCATTTAGATGTGTAAGCCCTTATTTAGTGTTTTTTCGTTTTTTTTGTTCGAACTTCAATTACACATTGTATGTAAATTCATTACAATACAAAAGAAGCCAATAAAAATAATCAAATTGTTAAGAACTACATTTTGTAGTTTTTCAATTTCGAGAATTGGGGGGGTACATACTTGATAATACCTAAATAGTGGGTACATATACATTTATGTGATGGAAAACCGTCTGCTCCGTCGATTACAAAATGTTACATCTTACCGGCAAAAGACGATTAGGCCGTTTTTAACTTCCGCTAAATGTCCCTTATCGAAGAGAGTGGTTGGTCAAAGACAGCTTCAAGTGTAACTTTGTATTAAATGTTCAAGTCACTGTTAGAAAGTAGAGTTATGTATCAGACGCCCGAGAATTTACTTAACATTTGTCAAGTTCTTGGTGGGCGAGAATTATTTCAAAGCGTCTACATTTACATATATATGAGGCTGTCCATACTTCCTTTAAAGCATCTTCTATTTTCCCAACAGGACTTCGACAGCTTCAGAAGGATACCCATGTTGTCATGGATAATTTTAACAAGTGAAAAAGCGTTAAGTTTGGCCGGCCGAACTTTGGATACCCTCCACCATAGATATACAGGTACTTGAAATGAAAATATAGGGAACATACCAAAAAGTGGACCTATACAGACATTTCTACAAACCGATTATGTATACCATAATGTACACCAAATACATTATGGTGGAAGCGGCTGTTTCAATATGAAAATTGGTATTGCAGAAAAAATTGTATTAGTACGTTGCTGGAGGCTATACCTTAAGCGGGACCAATGTTGATTACATATGAGGTGCTATGCCTAATTGAGGACTGATATACATCTATTTCGAAATTAATATTTTAGCATCAGATAAATATTAAAAAATACCGAAAATCGTTGGTATCATAATATGGGGCCTAAATGCAGGCTATAGTTCATTATCGAACCTTACGTTCTAGTTTTTTATCTCGATATCCTCCGCAGGTGAAGTAATTACAACAGAGTCTTAGAACAAAACCCAAAACGCGAAATAAATCAGATAATTTTTTTAAAATAAAAAAGGGGGTTAATATCCGTACTACCCTAAAAAGGGGACGAATATTAATAATTTTGGTAGGGAGATTTGTTACCATATACGACTACAAAATACAAAATACCGATAATTGGGAGTACCCATATGTGGGGGCTATCGGAAAAAATTGTCCTATTTTTATAATTTTTTATGGAGCTCGTTTATATGGGAGCTATGCCTAAACGTGGATCGATATATCCCATCTTCGAACTTGACCTGCCTGTAGACAAAATACAACTCTATGCAAAATTTCAACACTCAATCTAAATTCCTTCAGAAGGTACGGTGAATACAACAGACGGACAATGGCTAGATCATCTTCGAAATTTACCCTGATCAAGAATATATATACTTTATAAGGTCGGAAATGAATATTTCGATTAGTTACAAACGGAACGACAAAATAATATATATGATAAATGCAAGAGTAATAAGGGAACTTTGAAGGTAGTCCATATCTCTGGAAGTATGGACTTTTACAAGAAAACCAATTATATCGTTGTTTTAAGGCCAACTGTGGCTAGATATGGTAACAAGTTAAAAATGATCCGAGACTGAAACTTAAACCAGACTTGAGGCAAAAAAGATAAACTTTGTAATTTTGTTTCGAAGTAACTTCTAAAAATCGAGGTGAATCCCTAAACAAAAGCCATTCCATTCAAAACACAAGATATTTGGTCTGTCTTCAATACTGCAAATTTGAATTAAAAAGAATACCACATATAAGCTGATTGTTCATTGCTGGAAAGTACAGATAAGAGTGGTGCACAAGTTTTTTTTAGTTTTAATTTCACTTCCTTTATTATACCATAAATATTATATATAAAAATGCCCTGTTGTTCTACGAAACATTCATTTTTTATTTAGGGGAAAACTTATGAGTCAATTTCTTTTTGAATCAGTTCTTTAATAGCTTCCATTGTCGTTACACCTTTACTAACCATAACAATTTTGTTGCGGGATCGTGAACCTTTATCCAGAGATACGTCGCTTTTTCTTAACTGCAACACTTTCGAGAGGTATTTCACTAATTCAGCATTTGCTTCTCCTTCACTGGGTGGTGCTGCTCTGTAAATGAAATTCGTTAAATATCTCCATTATTGAAAAATTAATTATTCTTACATTTGGACTCCAACTCCTTCGGTTGAGATGTCGGTTATACCGTTGTTTTTAGCTCCCGGTTTTGCCAAAATCCGTATGCATATATTGCCATTTTTGTCCGTCTGTATGGGATCATCATTTGGAACAGATGTTTGTGTTGTTGGTGCTGCTGCTGACTTTTTGCTCTTTCCTTTGGACATGGCGGATGCTGATATTTGGAAAAATCTTCGCATGTATTCTCGGAATGGATGTGGAGAAACTACGAAGGAATCGTGGTGCTTTTTGTTTGTTTACATTTGTCAAGCGCTATATGGTCGCCAAGGCATATCAGCTGTTTTACAAGTTTACATTATTAGGTGTGTTCGTTTATTAAATAATTTGTACAATGGCCCAGTAATAAGGCCAGATGATTTCATCCGAACTGCAAAAATGCTTTCAATTTTGACATAATCGCATGGAGACGTAAACAAATCAAGTGAAAAAGGTGTTAAGTTCGGCCGTGGAACATGTGTATAAAATCTTCAAAATACTGCAATTTAGAGGGCAAAGTTATATGAGGCCAGGCCATCACCAAATCAGATAACTATTTCAATAAAAAGGGGGGGTTATATGTAGACTACCACTAAAAGAAGGCAAATATTAATAATTTTTGGGAGAGTGACAATATAAGATTTCAAAAAACTAAATAACAGCGAATTTGGTTGAAAAATGCGTTCAAGAATCTCAAAATAACGAAAATATTGGGAGTATGGCGCCCAATTACATAAAATTGGACGAAACTATATATGGGAGTTATATCTAAATCTAAACCGATTTCAACAAAACTTGACAGATATCAATCTTGATCTAATTCAGAACTCTGTGATAAATTTTGTCTCAATCGGACCAATATAGGGAGTTTGGTGCACATTTAACATAAAATCGGACGTAACTATATGAGAGGTATATCTTAATCTGAACCGATTTTCTCCAATTTCAATAGGGTTCGTCCTTGGGCCAAAGAAGTGACATGTGCCAAATTTCATCCAAATCGTATCATAACTGCGACGTGTACTTTGTACACAAAAATACATGGATAGACGGACGGACCGACGAACGGTCAGGCTGACATACATAAATAGGCATATTCTCAAAAGGAACCATAGGTCCATTTCGATTACTTTTGCCCGTTACAAACATATGCACAAAGACATAATACCCTTCACCACAGTGTGGTGATGGGTACAAAAAAAAAAGATCTGGCAATATTTGTAGCAGACAAATGGCAAATTGATCAGCTGTTATTTTGATCAAAATAGATTTTCGTAGCCCTTTGAATCTTTATTTTGTTTTGCTTTTTATTTTGATTCTCGATCTTTATCGGGAATGTTTCTTCGTTCTACTTGTCGGAAATTTCCAATTTACTTCCTTGTCTTAAAGTTAAATGCAAATAAAAACGAATTTAATACATAGGAATTAATAAATAGAAAAAGTAGATTTACGTTTGTGTGATAATCCCCATCTATACATAAGAGCATACCCATATTGGTATAGAAGTCGAAAGTTATTTCATAATCAAGTTTCATCGTAGTACTCGGAACGGATAACACAGTTGAACGTGTCAATTGCCAATCACTGGAATTATAAACAAAAATCAATCACCTTTTGTTAAGAACAACAGGTGAAAACTAGACGAAAAATATATTAATTTGCATTCGAATTTGGAGGCAGGTAAGCTTTTAATGTACACATTGGTAAAACATCAACTGATCTTATATAATATCTTTACAGGAAGTCGAGAAGAATTTACCGACGATAAAGTGATCCAAAGGAATGCTGCTGCGAAATGCCCTGTCATTTGGCGCCAAAACCTATCAACTTATACCTTTGAATACCACCGTGGTTCAAAATGTTCGCAACATAAGCACTGAACTGGCAGCTGCCCTCCGACCGTTCTATTTTGTAGTTCATCCCGACCTATTTGGTCAACATCCGGAGCAACGAACGGTCAATGAGGAATCATTGAAACAACTCAGTGCACACATGCAAATGATCCAAGAACGTAAATTGTCCATTTTGCGTGAAACGAAAATATTGAAATTCTACATACGTGAAGAAAATGGAGAGGATAGAAGTAAATTTAAATTGATACAACTTACATTGGATAATAGGACGAGAGATCCAAAGACTATAATAACTAAACTACTGGAACTGTGTAATCTGCCAACGGACTATGTTAAGAGTTTAAAATCTACACCTATTGACGATGTTAAACCCAGTGGTGGAGGGGGTTTTGCCGATAATGGTGCTGGATTTAGGGCTAGTCAAGATTATAATTATGGGTCACAATTTGCCGGCTTTGAGAGTTCATATTATAGGGTAAGTAGCTATTGTTTCGGAACAATTGATATAAAGCGTTCCATCGCAATTTTAGAAACTGGAAACTTTAAGGAAATATAGAAATATTTGAAAAAATTTAATGTCAATCGGTCAGACTTAGGGAATTTGTTGTACACCTTATAATTATATGAAGATGTGTGAAGACACACGCTATTTATTATGCTAGTTATTTTGATTCAGACCAAATTGGTTGAATATACAGTAGCGTGCAAATTAATAGCAGTTCAGTACTGCTTCTTAATATAATGTTTTTTAAAATAATGTTAACAGTTGATTTCTTTCTACATTTTTTAAATCGCTATTTTGATGCATACTTTATGCCATAACTACTTAAATAATGAAAATAATCTGAACATTTTTACCGTCATATTTTGTTTGCCTTTCTCCTTTGTTCGCTTGCATAATAATAGCAGTGGTGTAAGGAAACGTGTAAAATCGCGTTAATATTCAAAATTTTAGTTTGTTTTTATGATCAAAATATTTTTGGCTTAAAATAATTTTTAAAAAATCCAAACACGCGGAAAACATTGTACAAAAGAAAAATGAGAACTCATACAAAAATTGATTTCTGAAGGAAAAACTTACAAATTTATGTGTGGTTGGTTGTTCTGCGAAAATGATCTCTAACGGCATAAAGTTGTCTCCCAAACCAGAAACGCGTGTGCGAAATAGAAAAATCTCTCAATTTGATGAAAAAAGAATAATAACAAATAATAACAAACAAATAATCTGCTACGGAATTAAAACAAAAATTTAACCTTGAAGTTCATGCATGTACAATCAGGAGACTCTTGCTGCATCACAATTTGTATGCTAGATCTCCCAGAAAAGTACCTCTACTTAAAAAAATACATACCTTCAAAAGATTAAAATTTGAAAAAGAGCACCTAGATTGGCCTCTGTTTAAGTGGCGTAACTTTTTATGGTCTGCCGAGACCAAAGTGGTTTATAATTTAATTTAAAGAGAACAAAGCAACTATAAATAAGTGAAAAAAATTTTAAATTTATTAAAATGGGACTGTCTTTAGATATAGCCCCCGAATGACTGTTTTAGCTCCCAGAACAAATTTTCCTATCAAAGAAGTTATTAATATGGGTCCAGGGTTCGTCCACCTGTTGAAATCACGATGGAGCTCGCAATATTTAAATTATAGTCCAAATAAAACTGTACAGCCAAATATTCGGTATTTTGGTGATTTTTCAATCGTTATTTGTTATATTGGGCTTCCTACCATAATTATCAATATTGGTTTACTTTTTAGAGAATTACCCATATTACAGCACCTCCCTAATCTGGGCAAGTTTTCAACCAAATTGGCAGAAATTTTAAATTTTGGATTGTCATTGGGTGGTAAATCTTTATGGGTATTTGAATTGTCCTAGGTTGCATTATTTTAGTATTACGATGTTGTGTTGGAAATTGTTTTTATTCTTGGCAGCATAGTCCCTATAATAAAGTTCCCGATCGTTTTGAATCTTCAACTCATAGTGGAGGATATTTTTAAAGATGTTTTTTTATTTATTTCCTCGTTTTCCTTTCAGGCCAAAGAGGAAACTAAAAAATCAATCGACGAATGGATTGCTGAAAATTCGAATTTAGCTAAAAAGCGAGCCAAAGACTTACAACCCCTCAAACGCGATGTCGAAGTTTTACAAAAGGCTGTCATCGAAAATTTAGGACTTAAAGATGCTCGCTATGATTGCGGTTGGAATTTTGAACACTATCGCGGCTGCCTGAAGACTTTAGAACGTTTGGCATCGCTGCACAAAGATCATGTCAAACATTTACGTAATCGCGTTGTGGTCTTTGCTCCATTTACTGGCATTAGCTTAGAGGGACATGTAATGCTATTTACCGGCGATGTTCTCAACAATTGGATTGAATTTATACGCAACATTCCCAAACATGATGCTTTCCTCAAGAAAATACCGCTCTATGAAAATACTCTATCGCAGGTGCTGAGAAAAATTCGAATTGGTCGTCGTAAATTTATGCCAAAACAGCAGGCCGTGGAATATGCCAGTCATTTGAATAAGGTTACAACGACATTGGGTGATTATTTAACTGTTAATAAATTTCCAAAATCATGGCCCGATACACTGACGGAATACGAGATTGTAATTGAATCGGAGGCAGGTCCTCTAATGGTCAGTCCCACGGGACAATTAATAACACCCGCCACCTGTCCCGGCTTTATGCTAGTTGATTTTATAACAACAAATTTAGCGGTAGCAAAAGAACGCATGGCAAAATATCAAGAAGAGAAACATGTGGAACGTGAACTGACAAAACGATGCATTGAAGAAATGAGATTAAAATCACTAACCAAAGATGATTCGATAACGCCTGAAAAAATGATCAACACCCTTAACGACCTACTGAAATGTAATAAAATGCAATTTGCCGACATCGATTTGCACATAGCAAATTATTATTCTGTTCTAACGGATGGTATTGTTTGTATACCATGGGATTTCAATACAAGACGGTAGTATTCAACAATGACAACAAATAATTTTACATTTGGCTATAGATTATCGGAGTCTTTGCAATAAATACAAACCCCCCAAAAACTGTTTATTTTACTAATTTGTTTTTGTTGTGTGCCTTCCATATGTTCAAATTTAAATGTAAAGTGATTTTGTATACAAACGTACATATAGTTAAATAATAATAAAATAATTGTTTTATGAATTTGTCCCCTGTTTATATTATTTTTTATGGGGAGGGTATATTAAATACTGAATTATCAATTATTGCATAGCTTTTTTATTTATACCCTCCACCATAGCATGGAGGGTATATTAATTTGGTTTTTCTCTTTGTAACTCAACGAAATAATCATTTCCGATCTCGTAATGTTGTATAGGATACCTCTAATAAGGATACCCCTGATTTTCGGTATTTTAATTTCTTGACCGCGATTTCAACCAAATTAGCTGTTGTGTACCGCATTTTTCGCCGGAATTCGCTGCAATTTAGTACTTTGATCTCTTATTGGGTAGCCAATCGCTCCACTAAAAATTATAAATATATTTCCACTATTTTCGGGTAGCCCCATATAAGGATACCCCCTAATTTTCGGTATCCTTATATGGGGTTCTTGGGCGCGATTTTCAAAAGAATTCGCTGTAATTTGGTATTTTGTAGTCGTATATGGTAACAAATCTTCCTCCTAAAAATTATTAATATTCGAGAATGAACTATATCTGCCCAATAGGATACCTCGGTATTTTTAATATTAAGCGTAAATAAAGGTATTTCGATGCAAAAATGTATGTTTCATAATTGAGCTCTATGCATAGCACCTCATAACTACAATGATAACATAACTATAATGATAACTACAAATGTTCGGTAATTCCTACACGATGTAATCAATAGTTATACGTCCCTGGAGATTATACCTAAAACGGAACTCATACATTTTTTTCTGCAATGATAATTTTCATATTGAACCAGCCGATTCCAACGAACACCACGAAATAAAACCTCGGTAAGTTGGTTCCCTCTACATTGCTATATTTTGGTGATGTTCCACCACCCTACCATGCGTCGCCAATATCGATCCACTTTTTGGTGTTTTTAGGAAAATTAAAAATTGCTGAAATTTGTATTTGGTGTACATTATGGTTTACATAAATCGGTTTGTAAAAATGTCGGTATAGGTCCACTTTTTGATATGTTCCCTATTCCAATTCCAATTCATGTACCTATCATATGTACCTATCATATACCTATGGTGGAGGGATATTCTAAGACGATTTAGACATTTGCCCTGCCCTGCCCATTTTCGATCAATAAATTCGGATCCACCAAAATCAACGAATCTAGTTTTAACTGTTTTTTTTTTCGTAATACATAAGATATTTATTATATATTTTTTATTATATGTAAATGTAATATAAACATAAATAATAATAAACATTTATTATATGAGACTATAAGAATTTTCATTTTTATAAAATATATGTATATGCTTTTGTAAAACTGTGTATATATTGTAAGTAAGCAAGATAGATTAACATAAAGCAATGTGTACAAAATGTAAATAATTTTGAAAAAAGACAAATAATTCTTTAGATAAAAAACGATTTAAAAATACGTAATATTTATCTATATAAATACATATGAAGTTTGTATTAAGAAAATAAAAATATAAATGTGTGTGTGATCTACACAAAAACAAGTAATTTTTGTTTTACTATAAATTTCTAACAAATTATAATTTTTTTTTATAAAATTTCGGTATATTTTCTCGGTTTTTTTTCTACATCTGATTGTATCGAATATATTTTTCAATTAGTATATGTGTGTATTTAGAATATTGATTTTTTTTTTTTATTTTACACTAATTAAGTTTCTGGTGAGCAAGATAGAGGAGGGCCGGTACAGGGCCAACAAAACAAGTTAAATAAATAATAGAAAATATGTTCAATTCCCGTTTTACGTGGATTGGTTTTCTTTTTCGTGGTTACTTTTTAATAATCAATCATTAAAAAAAACATGTGGCTTATAAATTAATTACTTTATAAAAAACTGTATATAATATAAAAAAGTTATTAATAATAAAACAAAACATAATGTGTATTATTACTTCGCACAACGTCATATTGGTCGCCTGTCATCCGACAAAAAAAAAAAACCAAAACTCAGCTGTGGTCTATTTATTTCTAATTCGTCCATCTCCTACGCGAATCGTAGAGAGCTGGTCTGTACATTAATGATTGATCGATGCCTATTGTGGCAATTGACTTGATCGGCGTTTATCTTTTTCCTTTTCTTTATCGCCACCTTTTCGTCCGAATATTCTGAAAACGCCACTGCGACGATCTTCTTTACTTTTGCTGCCTTTAACACCCGATACGGAGGATATTGATTGAGCTTCGCTCTCACTGGAACTTTCGGCAGAGATGCGTGACAAATTAATGGAATCGGGTTGTAATGATACCGGCCGACTTGATTCGAAGCGACTTGTTCCCCAACCTAATTAAAAAACGAAAAAAAATATATATATTAAAAATTAATTCTTAATAAAAAGTAATATCAAATAATAGAAACACAAAGCTTAAATATTAGTATCATATGTTCAAAATGTTTATAGATATTCGATTTTTGAACAAAAGTATTGAAAATTTAAAAAGTCTTTTGAATCTAATCTAAAACATTTTCCTCATTTTTAAATGTCGTTTCCAAAATAGCGCATTAGACAATTTCAAATACAATCCGAAAATTACGTAATAAAAATATAATCCAAAACGTCAAATATAATCCATTCTTTTTTTTTTTTTGAAAAATTCAAACGCGTTAAAAACTACCTTTTTTTTTGAAAAAATAATTTTTTTATATTTTAATCGAATTTGTTCAAATTAAAATTTATAGAAAAAATATATTTTAAAAAATTCTTAAAAACTACCTTTTTTTTTGAAAAAATAATTTTTTTATATTTTAATCGAATTTGTTCAAATTGAAATTTATAGAAAAAATATATTTTAAAAAATTCTTTAACTTAAAATATTTCATATCATCACACAAAATTTTGAACATATGCATAAGTTGTATAAAAAACAAAATAATTTCTAGTACTTTGTAGACTTGTACGTATATTCGATCGACTCAGTTTAGCTGTTTTATAAAAATAGATATTTCCTGTGTCTGCATGCAAAAGAAACAAACCAAATGGAAAGTAATTAGATAATACTTGTTAGAGTGTTATAATAATTATTTCTGGATAAAAATCAAAAATAAAAGAAGTAGGAAAACTATATGAAATTGTATAGCGTTAGAGAATGTTATTTGTAAAAAAATAATTTGAGATTTTAGTGTCGCTAAATCCAAAAACATAGTTATGTATTGATCTGGCATCATTGATCTCTAATGTTGACATTTGTAACATATGGCAACTATAGTTATCTGCCAAAATTTGAAATTAACTGTAATTTTAGTCTTAAGTCATTTCTTACAAAAACAATTTCAAAGTCAATTTCAAATAAACTTTTAGATATAGTAATAAAACATTGCCGTTTCAATACATAAAACGTACGTTTTACAGATTATTGTACCCAGTCTTAGTATATATGCCTCATGCCTATCAGTGTTAAATGGTTTGCATTCAGGATACCGACCGTATTCGAACCGGAGGGCTACCATACATTTATACATAAAGCATATATTAAATTTGTTATTCGATTTGCAACACCTCGAAATATTTACCGGAAACCAAATGTAAAATTACATAGGTATATTATTTTTTAGTTTGTTTGGTCCTAAGAGTTTGTAACTCAGCAAAATATTGGTCCTTGGCCCACTTTATAGTATACCGATTGGGTTCTGTTTTTTAGTTCATCGAAATAATCATTTCCGGCCCTATATACATATATATATATTCTTGATATTCTTTGACGATCTAAGCACGTACGTCTGTCCGTCTTTTTTTAAACACTCTAGTATTTAAACGTGTTGAGATAGATCGCCAACATTTTTTGCATAGAGTCGTCTTTTGTCTGCAGACAGGTCATGTTCGAAGATAGACAATATCGATCGCTCCCATATAAGGGTACCACTGAATCGAATTCTCTGTAATTTGGTTTTTGTAGTTGTGTATGGTAACAAATCTCTCTCCCAAAAATTATTAATATCCGCCCCATATAACCCTTTTTTGGATTATCTGATTTGTTTCGCGTTTTGGACGTAGAACGTAAGGTTCGAGAATGAACTATATCGGTCCGCATTTGGGCCTAGCCCCCATATAATGACATCTACCGATTTTCGGTATTTTCAATATTTAGCGTAAAGGAAGTTATTCCGATACAAGAATGTTAGCTTCGTAATTGAGCAATATCAGTCCTCAATTAGGCATAGCATATCACATAATGATAATTACAAATGGTCGGTAATTCTTACACGATGTAATCAATATTGGTCCCGCTTTAGGTATAGCCTCCAGGGACGTACTTATACAAAATTTTTTCTGCAATGACACTTTTCATATTGAAACATCAGTTTCCACTCAACCCCCCAAAATAAAAACTGGGTACGTTGGTGACGGTCTCATATAACTGTGGCTTCTAAATTGCAGTAATTTGGCGATGTTCTACCCTACGATGCGTTGGTCCCCATTTTGGTGGTTTTAGGGAAAATGCCATTTAAAAATTGCTGACATTTGTGTTTGGTGTACATTATGGTTTATATAGAAATGCCGGTAAAGGGCCACTTTTTGGTATGTTCCCTATATTTTTAATTCAAGTATCTGTTAGTATACCTATGGTGGAGGGTATACAAAGTTCGTCCCGACCGAACTTAACGCTTTTTTTCACTTGTTCTGTTTTAGGATCGGAACATCACAAGTGTTATATACTCCTGAAGGACATATACGCGAGAAGTTGGTAGTATATCCAAGGTAGTATATCCAAGAGGATTGATCTTTAAATTGATACCAATTTTATTGTTCGGATGTGGAAGTTTTAATTAAATGCTTAAGGTGTCTTCGTATTCTGATATTGTTTAGTATTACCACATTAGACATAAATTTCAAGCTGATGACTGAGAAATTTTGAAAGGAAGGCGCCTATAATTTTCGATGATAATCAGATGATATTTCGGGCATTTTTTTTTTTGGTAATCTAGTCGCTCTACACGTTACAATTACTAGCCGAACTTCATAAATTTCTTTCCGAACTGCACAAACTCAATTCTAATTATATTTTTGTTTTTAATTATGACCTACACCTAGATTATAAAAATCTCTAAAGAGAAACCTAGTAAATTACTATTACTATAACCTCGTATATTCATGCAATAATTCTAAAAGTAATATTAGTATATAACAAAAAATACATGCAAAAATTGTAAGACAAACAAACCAACAAAAAATTAAAAATGTAGGTTGAGGTCTTTAGTGTGATGGAATGGATTTTATAAATAAATAATAATGTAATTAAAAAAATGAAAACCAAATACCATCACTGTTATTATTGTTGATGACACTCATATAGCTTGGATTATTTATGGAGTTATTTTCGGTGATATTTGTGTTAGGTGTTGTTGTGAAATGCCACACCGTACGACTATGTTGTGAGGATGATGTTATGGATGACGAGGATGATGTTGTTGTCATTATAACCGATGATGATGATGAGGATTTATTTGAACTGGTGGTGGTAACGGTTGAGCCTTGCTGTTGATGATGTTGTTGTTGTTGTGAAATTTGTTTATATAATGATGATGATGATGAATTTGTTGACTTAAGATTGTTGTTATTGTTAAGACGCTGTTGATTTTTACCATTGTTACTGTTGGTGGAACTGGTACTGCTACCGGTAAGTAGAATCACATTGTTAGAATTGGGACTACCACCACTGCCAATACTGGAATTAGAACTTGTGGACATGGTTGTGTGTACGGTACGTTTTGTGGAGGATAGTGTTGGTGGAGGATTGCCACCGTATTGTTGCATTTGTTGTTGTACACCAGCCGCGGTTTCCATTTCAATGAATTTCGATACCAAATCGGAACGTCCAGAGGTGGTGGCGCCCAGACTGTTACGTGGGGCTGGTATTAGTTTATGTTGCTGTTGGCTACGCATATAGCTGGCTCCAGATTGTTGCTGTTGTTGCTGTTCAGGTAATTGTCCAGAAGCTGCGGCGGCATTGAACGCATTAATGCGCTGTTGAACCTGTGCCTGATGTTGGTGGATTTGCTGACCAGCAGCAGGTGGCATAGTTGTTGGCAAAGGTGGAGGATTTTCTATACATACGACATTGTTGTTGTTGTTGTTATGTGTGTGATGTGGTTTTGTTTGTTTTGATTTTTTTTTTTTGGGAAAATGAAATACAATGATACAATGGTTTATTAAAATGGGGGACAAAAACACAGTTTATGATACCAAAAAGTGACAAGGGACAATAATTTTTTTTGTTTTGGAAACAAATCAACTTAGATTAATGCTTACCTGATAGTCTAGCCTCGCTGTTACGTTTTATAACCACGACATTATCGTCATTGGAACCATTTTGCAAACGTGACATACTGCTGCTAATTGTTATTTCCGAAGTGGCAAATTCTATAATTATAAAGTATATATAATTTAATTCAACTGCTTATGGGGGGAATGCAACACAAATTTATTGTAATTATTACAACTACTCTTTGAAGAAATTAAATGCAAACAAAAAAGAAAAAATACCTGAAGTTGCTGTGCTGGGATTTCTTAAGACAACCAAATTATCGGTACTTTGACGATTGGGTACTGGTGGTGGGGCACCACGTGGTGGTATGGGTGGTTTATGTTCAAATCCTATTGACGATGTTGGAGAAGATGGTGAAGGAGGTTGCTGGAAATCATAAAAAACGTTATAATAACAATTCATTTTAAGTTCCACATTTCTTTATTTCGCTTTAACATATACCTGTTGTTGTTGCATTTGTTTTTGTAAGAAGTTCATTTGAGGAGTTACGGACGAAGCATTTACCGACATATTACTGCTGGTCATTGAATTGGTACGTGATGCAGTTCGTCTTTGGGAATCAGGTGATGAGGTGCGAGAACTTACTGGCGACTCCATTGTATGAGCACTGGCCACTTTAATGTCGGGGAAACTGTTGGATTGTTGCTAAACATCACAAATTATGAAAAAAATAGTCTCTAATGAAATACAAAAACCAAAGAACTTCAGCTCCCCTTCGTACTTACCTTCATGGAATCGTCATAACTTAACAATTGTAGATTTGGCGGTAGACTAGCATGGAATGAAATCTTACGAACCCAATCGTTCATAATTTCCAATGATGGTGCTTCGAACAAGAATTCCGAACCATCGGGTAATTTTAGACGGAATACATATTTCTTCTTAGTGTAGTCTTCGGCACGTTCACACTTAGCTCCCAAAATGTTAACCGGTGCTGTTGCCGTTTTCTGTTGCAAGAAATCGTTTTCGTCCTTGAAGAAGCACAACAATTGGCCGCACAATACGGTGTGGAATTGTTTCCATGAGCGTACAGGAGCCTTTTTACCGCCAGACTGTAAGCCATGTTTACGTTCGAGCATACCCTGAATTTCCACCGGTGGCAAATCGAAACCTTCACCCTTTTGATTTTTGCGGAAGGATTGAGCACGGCGTCTGGTGGTGAATGAGGGAGTGCGTTTTGGCTGCTTGGGTTGTACCTTCATTGATTCGGCTCTCTTGACGTTTTGATCGGAACCACGACGCAAACGATCACCAAATATTGTGGATGAAGAGCTCTTTTGCAGACCGTATTGGTCCTCCTCGTAGGTTGGTCTCAATGGAACTTGTGAAATCTGTGGTGAGTTAGCGCCGGAGGATGGTGTGGTTGTAACCATTGGAGAAGAGAATATGGGTAATTTCTCTTGATTATTGGCATTATTTCTATTCTCCATTTGTTTTTCGGCACGTCTTCTTTCTTCGTTGAGTCTCTGCAGTTCCTTTTGCTTAAGCATTTCCAATCGTTCTTTCTCCAAACGTTCCTTCTCCTTCAGTTTGGCCAATTTTTCACTTTCAACCTGCTTGCGGAATCGCTGTTCCAACAGGGTAATACGTTTAATGGCCTGGAATTTGTCTTCTTGAGCTTCGACCGTTTTTTCAAAGTCAGAATGGCGGCGGAGCAAGTCTTCCACTTGGGGTATGGATTCACCGAGCTTTGTGTCCTTGAGCAATGGCTCGCGACTGACAATCCAATTTTCTAAGATGTCGGCATCCTTAAGGAATATTTGAGTGTCCAAATTCAATTCATAGATTTCCTTGCGTTGCTGCAGGGTGTTGTCCAAAAGTTCATGTCTTTGCTGCAGCACCTGGATCTTATCTTCGATTTCATGAGCCAAGAAATGTTTCTCCTTAATCAGTTTTTCACCTTTCGTCTTGAAATGAGCGAAAGCTTCATCTCTGGCCCTAATTTCGGCATGGTGCTCCTTAATACTGGCCAAAAGGGATTCAGCGCCGGCAACGGTATTGGCCAAATCGGGTGCTGTGATCTTGGCCAGCATTTCATTGACCCAGGCAATCAAGTCGCGGTATTCGTCAAAGTATGACTGAAGTTGTTCGGCTTGCTGTAATTTCTCCTTACGAACATTCGATTTTTCAGTGACATCGGCCCAAGCTTCAATAGTTTCATCGCGTTTAACCTCAATATGTTCCTTGGCATCGGGATAGATTTCAGCCAAGTTATTGGCTTCATTCATGACGGAGTTAACTTGATCGCGTATTGCTTCCAATTCGGTTTCGAATACCAAATGCTTGCGGTTCAGGGCTTGGATACTTTCCAAATCCTGGCCATAGTCTTCGGAAATTAAATTGGCTTCCTTTTCGTTAATCAAAGCAATGGTTTCATCGGCAAAGCGATCATATACATGGACTTGTTTGGCGCCATCCAAAGCATCTTTACGTGCGGCCACTAGATCCTTAAGTTCCTCCCAAAGTTGTTTAGTTTCATCGCGCTTTGTCTTAATCGAGGTACGGTAGGGATTATTTTCTTTGATCAGATCTTCGCCCTTCTGGAGATGGGCTTGAACACGGGACTCATTGGCCGTGAGGTTGGAAACGAATGTTTCAAAGACCAAAATCAATTGTTCGACATGTTCAACATCCTCGCCGTAATCTTCAGAGGCCGTCACAACCATTTGATCGTTAATCCATTCGTGGAGATCTTCAGTCTCACGTAGATATTCGAAAAGAAGTTTACTTTCGTGTAAACGCACTTCGCGATCCTTGGCTAGACGCAAAAGTTCTTCGTACTGTTGGTTGACGGATTCTTGCTTGGCCTGGATGTTGGCGCTATCGAAGTGATGGCGTTCAATCAAATTGGATGCCAATTTATTGACCTTTTCAATCGAAGGTTTGAATGACTGCAATTCTCGCTGGAGCACTTCCAATTTCTTCTGGTGAGTTTGAACGGACAATTCGTCTTTACCATAATCGCTGGACACGACAATTGGACGCTTCTCACGTATCCACGATTCCGCCTCATTGGCTTCGACATAGAACATTTGGGATTCGACGGCATCCAAAAGACGCAAACGTCTGATGCTGGACAATTCACGTAGCTTCACTAATTTGCCCTTAATGCAGTCACATTTGTATTGAATTTGTTCCAAGGCAAAGTGGTTGTCACGAATCATTTGTTCACCTCGCTGAAGCAATGATTGAATTAAAGGTTCTTGCGAGAGAAGTTCTGCCTCCAATGCTTGGTGTTTCTTTTGCAGGGTTTGTACAGTCGTCAATGAAGTGCCCAAATCTTCGGATGCAGCAATGGCTTCCTTTTCATTAAGCCATTGTAATTCGTCTTCGGCATCACGCAAGAACTGTTGTAAACTTAGAGAATCTTCAAGATTTTCTCTGCGGATACCCAGAGGTTCATGCAAAGTATGATAACGCTTGATGGCCGCCATAGCTCGTTCATGGATATCATCTTTAAGGAAATGATCGGCCTGGAAGAATTTTTCATCTTGCTGCTTTATTTGCTCAGCTAGTTCGGCATGATGAGCAACATCCGCTTCTAGACGTTCATGTTTCTTGATCAAATTTGTAACGCCAGCTAAATCTTTACCATAATCCTCGTTGGAGACATGCGATTCGACTTCATCCATCCAATTGTTGAACTCTTCCAAACTACGATTGAAGGTCAGTGCTTCGTAGGCTTGGTTGAGCTTATGTTTCTTTTCTTTGGAGGCTGACTTCAATTTCAACCAATCAGCTTCCAACATTTCCAATTGTTGAGCGATTTCCTCCTTGGCAAAATGATCCAACTTGATGAGGCGTTCACCCTCCTTGATGACGTCTTGTACGCGAGATGCGTTATTGAGGAGTTCACTGTCGAAGGCATTGTGTTTCTGTAATTTGCTTTGCAAGTTACTGGGTTCCCGATAATTTTCATCCATGGCCACTTGCATTTTCTGCACCAGCCAACGATCGATTTCGTAAAGACTGCGCAAGAATTCCTGTAGTTGAAGGGATTGCTGCAGACGTTGTTTGCGTTCTTGTGACAAACTATTTAGTTTGTCCTTACGTCTAACCACATAGGCCAACTTCTCTCTTATGACATCAGCATCACTAGGTTCTCCCTCGAGGATGGACTTGGCAAAGTTCTCCAACTGGCTGACATTGTCTGAATCCAAAAGTTTTTCGAATGCTTCATGCTTCTTCAAAAGTCTTTCGACGGCGGTGTACGAGTCGCCCAAATCATCGTTGTTAAGGAATGCCTCCTTGTTACCCAACCATATCTCAACTTGTTCCACTTGGGCCTTAAACAGTTGCAGTTGATGGGCCTCAGTTAGTTCGCGAGCACGTTGATTCCAAGCGTCATGCAAATTTTGGTGCAATTCTTCCAGAACCTTTAGATTCTTCTTTACTTTGTCGGATTTGTCTTTGTCCGATAATTTTTCTCCTTGCGACTTAAGATCCTTGAATGCCTTGTCACGTCCATCAATTTCGACCTTGCGCTCTTGATGCAATTCCAATTGAATTTCACAATCAGCAATGGTCATGGGTGTGGGTGAAGCGTTCATTTTCTTTACCATATCATTTACCCACAGTTCCAGCTCGCGTACATCCGATACGAATTTGTGGACTAAATATGCTTCGTTCAAAAGATTACGTCTCTTCACGGCCAGATCTTGCAGTTGCTTCCATGATCCAGATAGTTCATCCAATTTACCAGCAATGTCCATGGCTCTTTCGGGATATTTATTCTGCAAGGAACGTGCATTTTGCTCATGTTCGCCAATCTTTTGTTTAACTGCGGACATATCACGCTCCAAAGCATCCTCACGTCTAATTAAAGCTTCCACTGCCGCTAAATCACGTCCAGTGTCTTCCGATGACATTGCCAAGGATTTCTCAGCAATACGTTCAGCAGTATCTTCCACATCACGATTGAATACATGAATCTCATAGGCACCACTCAACAGTGCGCGATAGGCATTAAGAGCTCCCTGCAGTTGTCTCCACTTGTTGTTGAAGTCACGTCTACGTTTATCTATGTTAGCCGATTCCGCTGGCACTTCTCCTTGATTAATAAGTTTATCGGCCAGACTGTTGATGTGTTTAACCCTTTGGTCGTCAACTCGCATATCCGAATCAACATCGTCAAGTTTGCGCATCAGCGCATTGCAGTGCTCCAAATCTCTGCCTGTGTCACTGGCCTGGACCATCATTTCCTTGTCTCTTATCCAAGCTTCAATCTTGTCCAATTGGTTATTGAATTCCAGAATGTCCTGGGCTTCCTCCAAACCACGACCACGATTATCCAGTTCATCCAACAAACTCTTCCAGGCAGATAGAACGCGATCGATTGCTTGTTTAATTTCAGGTGATGACTCGTGTTGTTTGGATAATAATATGAGACCCTTTTCTTGGATTTCCTTGATTCTGCCTTGGTTGGCGGCAACCTCAGCCTGGAAGGCTTGGTGTTTCTGAAGCTTCTTAATCTTTTCATCCAAATTGGAGACCTCGTTATAGTTTCCACCGTCGGCTTCCAATTTCTTCTTCTTCTCGTTGATCCAAGTTTCAGCTTCAGCACAGTCTCTAACGAATTGGGCATAGAGGAGAGCATCTTCCAGTTTGTATCGACGCACGGCACACAGGTCCTTAACCTTTTGACGTCTGGCCAAAACGCCTTGCAAAATGGTTTGAATGTTGGCACTGTCGTAATGACGTTGCTCGATCAATTTGCGGCCATGCTCCTGCAACAGAGCCACCTTTTCTTCTTGGGTCTGTATGAGTCTTTCGAATTCGTCGTGTTTCTTAATTTGATTCTGCACATCCTCAACGGTCTGGCCAAAGTCGGAACTGGACAATGCAGCCTGCTGTGAACTGGACAAGTTATCGATTTGTTTGGCATCCCTCAAGAAGCAGAAGAGGTCGATCTTTTGTTCCAACATTATCTTCTTCTTGTTCCAGGCGGTGTGCAGTTTGGCGCGTTCATCCAACATAGCTGAACATTTTTCTTCAACTTCAGCCGCGGCATAGTGTCCAGTCTGGACCATAGAATCGCTAAGTTCATTCAATGATCGGAATTTATCTTCACGAGCCTCGATTTCACCATAAATGGCATCGTGTTGAATCTTAAGGGCTGTAGCACCGGCAGCATCGCTAACATGTTCCTCAGCCTGTAAAGAAGCGCGCAAATGCGAAGACCAAGACATAATATCACGGACATCTGTGAGGAATGTCTGCAGATCGTAGCTGGCAGCTAGACGGTCGCCACGAGCACCAGAACGTTCTTTCAAATCGTTCCAAGCAGCCACTACTTTGTCCTGTTGTTGGGCAATGGCAGCAGCATTTGAGGGATATTTGGCCTGAAGGCGAACAGAGTCTTCGACCAAAACCTGCAATTGGGCCTCCAGAGCTACCAAATCATTTTCAAAGCCTTCGTGCTTACGCATTAATGCCAAAGCGGAATTTAAATCTTTACCCAATTCTGTGGAGAGTGCTGCATTTTTGTCTTGAATGCGGAAGAGGGCCTCGGCAACATCACGATGGAAACGATGGATTTCGCCAGCGGCATGTAATTTCTGCTCCCTAAGGTTGAGCAACTTGAGAAGATTTTCCCAAGAACCACGTAATTGTTCTTGCCTCTTTTCCACATCTGGAGCATAGGGACTCTCAGTATCGATAAGTTTCTTGGCCAACACTTCGCACTGGTCAACGCGATCAGCGCCAACTTCAACACGATGCTTCAAGTCATCGAATTTATTCTGTAGCAATTGCAAATGTTCGTAATCTTGACCATAGTCTTCTGACGAGGCAACTTGTTCCTGTTCTCTGATCCATTGTTCAACCTCATCCGATTCCAAGAAGTACTCGTGCATATAGAGACTCTCCATTAGACGCAATTGGCGTTGGGAGGCGAGTTTGTGGAGAGATTTGAGCATTTTTTCAATCAGCTGTTGTTTGGCAGAAAGAATCTTGCTGTCTGGATGATTAGCGGATACCATAGCAGCGCAGTTGTGACCCATTTCGGTTACAATGCCAGTATAGGTGTCCAATTCCAATTCAATTGTTTTGTGTTTGGTTAAGAGTTTGGCAGCTGAATCACGATCCCTACCGTATTCGGTGGAACGTAAAACGTTTTGTTTTTCGCCCAACCAGGCCTCAATTTCACCAGCATCATACAAATACTGTTGGGCCTTGAGGGACATATCCAATTTCTTGCTACGTTCATTGGTGTTGTACTCCAAATCGTTCCAGGCATCCTCGAGTTGGTTGCACAAATCTTTAACCTTTTCTTGTTCGGGGTGTTTTTGGGCAACCAGGGCTTGACCAGCTTGTAGAGCTTTGTTGATCATGGGACGATGTCCCTTGATTTCAGCTTCTAATTTCTTGTGTTTTTTGGAAAGTGATTGGGCCTGATGGAGATTTTGTCCTAGTTCATTGGACTTGGCAGCGGGCAAGTGGTCGTTAATCCATTGGAATTCGGTATCCAATTCAAATACAAATTTGTGGTAATTGAGGCTCTCCTCCAGTTCATCACGTCTCTTTTGCATGGGATCACGCAAAAGTTTGAACCGATGTTGAATATCCTTGGATTCATCCTTAATATTGGCTGCATTGAAATGTCCTTCCTGGGCCATTTCTTCACCTGATGAAACTAATTCACCAATCTTCTGTTCCCACATTGTAATTTCGGATTCCAGTAATTGTTGCTTGTTGATCAAATCTTTACAGCTTCTGAGGTCATTGCCAACATCCTTGCTCTTGAGAGCAGCATCCAGTTCACCGACTTTCTTTTTGGCATCTTCAATGGCCCGATTGTGTTCACGCTGGGAGGCAGCTTGTTCCAGTTTACGTCCTTTATCTTCCGACAGTATCAGGAGGTCTTTCCATTTCTTGTTGAGGTCGGAGACTCTCTTCTCAACCTCGGGTTTGCGATTGTTGGCGGCAATCAACTGTTCACTATCCTTGTTGATGTTTCGCAATTGACCTTCGTTGGCACGAAGTTCTCTTTCGAAAGCTTGATGTTTTTGCAGCTTACGTGGCAAATTGACTAAATCGCGATAATTCTCATCACCGGCAATTTTAGTTTTGTCATTGAGCCAAGCATCAAGATCATCGGCTTCGGCGGCGAATTTATGGAAATCTTTGGAGGCCTGTAGAGAACGTTTACGTTCAAATGCCCTATCCTTGACAGCTTTGCGTTTTCCCAAAACTTGATTGCGTCTATCATCAATGCTGAAATAGGAGATGAGATGGTCGAGAATATAAGTGAAACGAATAAAATAGTATCGGATAATTCGACTTACTACTTGGAATCATAATGATCGTTGGCAATCAATTTGTCGGCATTATCAGAGAAAGCTTTTAGGATTTTATCCTGGGCCATTAAACTCTTCTCAAAGTCCAAATGACGTTTCAAAATAGCTTCAACTTCATCCAAGGAGTTCTGCAAATAGTACAAAGAGAAAAGTGAGTGAGGATAATTTTGCGAGATATTAATTTCATTCATTTATCGAAACTTACGCCCAAATTATTGGGTGCCAAAAAGGCTTCGTGACTCTTGGTGGTGGCATCAATTTTATCAGCTTCCCGGTTGAATATTTGCAATTCAACACCCTGTTGCAACCACTTCTGTTTCTCCAACCAGCCACGATGAATTGCATCCTGTTCGGCCTTCAAACGGTCGCAGATCTTTACAATTTCCTCCGTGTTCGGTTTACCATCGGACAATTGTTTACCAAGCTGAATAACTTCAGCAAATTCATTGTCGTGGGCCTTGATATCATCACCCAAGTCGTTGTGCTGTTTCAATAGCTTATTGGCAGTTTCAACATCGCGTGCAGGCTCATCAGAATTCAATTGATCCTTGACGGATTCGATCCATGCCAAAAGTGTTTTGGCACTGTTGTTGAAGATTTGGGTTCCAACGGCACTCTCAATGCGCGCCCTTAGCTCGCTGCTCTTGTTGTGGACTTGCAACCACATTTCTTGAACTTCTTGTTGGCGGGCGGTGACGTTGTCGCGTTCTGCGGGATATGCATTTTTCACAGAGTTACCCAAATAGTTGACTCGATTCACTTTGTCTTCAATGGGTGCCAGTTCACGTTCCATGTTTTGATGACGACGTTGCAAGGCTTGCACAGTCTTCAAATCGGGACTAATGACAGCGGTGTCCAGCTGAATCATTTTCTCACTCATCCATACCTTCGCCTCATCGCAAGTGCGATTGAACAGTTCCACACTGGAAGCGCCCTCCAAACTCTTCTCCTTTTGGGCCTTGGCATTGTTGAGTCTCTGCCAAATTTGATGAATTTGACGCTGACGGGCAATGATTTTGTCCAATTGGGAGTGACCCTGTCTGCGGAAGGTATCAACAGCTGAATCGATTTCCTCAATGCGCTTTGTGGCAGCGGATAGGTCTGTGAGGAATTTCTCGAATTTACGTTTGGCATTTTCGACACCTTCACCTCCTTCGTCACTCTTGATAATGCGCTCTTTCTCCTTCATCCATTTCTCAAAATCGTCACACTCACGATAGAAACCGAAGAGGTGTATGGAATCCTCTAAGAGTGCATGACGTTTCTGGGCCATGTCCTGTAGTTCATCGTAGGTGGCATTGATACGCTTCTGTCTCTTTTCTACACTGTCCGAGTTTTCGTTAATACTGTTCGTGGATGTGCGACGCTTGATGGCTGGCTTGGGAGTCACTGTCATGGGTTTCACGCGTTTCACTGGGACCACCTGTCTTACCAAAATGGTTTTCTTGACCTTTTGCAGGGCCTTTACCTTTTCTGCTTTCGGTACGATGCAAGTGACGGGACGTGGTTCAATTTCCCTCACATAGTTGGCGGGTACGAAACCTTCGTGACCATTCTCCTTACGCACACACCACCAATCATCGTTGGTCTTGGATTTTAACAGCATAATTTCACCCTTCTCCATTTTCATACCTTGACCGTCAAAGGGAAACATGGCACGGACATGGGGCAACATTTTAGTTTCGGTTACTTTACGATGTTCCAATTTTTCGACCCATTCATCTTCCCACACTTCCTTGGGAACCAGACGTGTCTCGTTGACCCACTCCTCTTGTTGTTGTTCAATTTCTGGCATTTCTGGTTCATTGGCGGAAAGTTCCAGGGTACAGATGCCAGCTTTAATAAGTTTATCGGCCTGTTGATTTAGGTTTAGAATATCGCCGGAATAGGCATTTAATTCGCCTTGTAAATCACGATGTCTTTGCAGGAGGGCTTGGGCAGAGGGTTCATCATTGCCGTAATCTTTGGAATTGACCAAAGCCATTTTTTCATTCAACCACGATTCGGCTTCATTGGCATCGGTGTAGAATTGATAGGCCTCGGCTGCATCCTCCAATTGTTTGCGACGGGTTTCTACCAACTCCTCCAAGGCCTTCCAGTGCTCTTCCAAGCTTTCAATGCGTGACTTGACTTCTGCAGAGCGAGGATGTTTCTCAGCCATCAAACGTTTACCGGCATCGGACATTTGCTGCGATTTGGGTTTGCGCACTTTAATCTCGTCCTCCAACGCCTTGTGTTTTTGTTGTAGCGACAGAACAGCCCTCAAATCCTTGGCCGTTATGCCAGTCTTGCAAATACGTTGCTTGTCCACCAACCATCCCTCTTCGTTGTCGTAATCCTCCATGAAGTGATGGAAGTTGCGTGCCTCTTCCAGACAGGCACGACGTTTGGCACATAATTCCTGTAGCACTTTGTAGGCAGTTTCCAGCTCCGCCAGCTTCTGAGCCAACACAGCGGCATCTTTGTGTTCGGATGTTCTGAAGGGTTGTGCTTGACGTGTAAAACGTTTAATGGTTTCACCGTAGGTATTTACTTGCAGCTCTTGCAGGGAGTGAGCTTGTAGCAACTCCTCGACACCCAACAAATGCGGACCGACATCTTCTGATTTGAATTGCATTTGCAATTCTTTTATGGACTCGGTGGTACTGGCCACCTCACGCAACAAATTCATTAGAGTGCTCATTTGTGACAGGTTCAAACGTTGATTCTCCAGTAATTCCAACAGTTTGCGCCATTTTTCCATAACCTCAAATTCGCGACGTTTAACCCGCTCCTTGCCATGGTAGTTTTCGCGTTCCAATTCATTGGCCATAGCTGTTAAATCATTGAAACGTTCAACACGTGCCAGAATATCGGCGGAAATGGCTTCGTGTTTTTTGAGAGTAGCATCGACCTGACGCAAATAGCGGGGATCGGACAATACCTGAATCATTTCCTTCAGATAGCCTTCACGTAAAACCGATTTCTTTTCGAATTTATAATTGAGCTGCTCTAATTTCTCTTGACGCAACAACTCTTCTCTCAGTGCAACTTCCCGATGATGTTCGGCATATTCGAGTAGTTGCCAAGCTTTTTCGATATCATTGACCAGCTGACCATCCTGTGGATTATACGGCGGTTGATTTAAAGCCTTCAGCAGAGTGTTGATGGTGAAATATAATGCTTCGATTTCACTGCGTTCCTTGTATCTGTAAGAAGTGGATAAAAAAGAGATTATTTTTAATGATTTATTTTTTTAAGGAAAATATTTGGGATAAAAATATTATTTTTTATTTAAAAATTCATATATGACCGAGTGTCATGTTTTTTTTTCTATATATCTACTTACTTTGGTGGTTTTTCAATGGTTCGGTACTCCTTGAAAGCCAATAACTCCCGTTGAATGCCCTCCAGTGAGTTGGGAAAATCACGTTTTTGTAGTTCAATGGTTTTCTGACGGATCCAGCTTAATAGATTTGTGGTTAAGCGTTCGTAATAGATTTTCTTACGATCGGCATCCATTAATTGACCCACAATCTGTTTAAAAACAAAATATGAAAATAAATTAAACAATCAATAACAAGACCTCATTAGGAAAGCAATAACTTTAATTAAATTTATTGTCATAAATGTATCTGTCAGATATAACTGCATATACACGGTCTCAGAGGTGTTTCCCCCCAAAAGTAAGGGGGGAAATGCCATTGCTTATTTATGTTTAAATAGACCGGAACTATTAATGCAAATGATTTGCCATAATAGTGAGTGGAATTTTTTGCAGGCACAGTGGATTGAAAGATGAGGAAAATAACAAAATTTTGAAAAAATTATTTCACTATATCCCGACACGATTGTAGTTGATTTTATATACTGATTCGAAAACGGGTTTATTCTAACTAAGAAAATATGTAATGGTATCTGCACTTCTGATTTTTAAACTACATATCTTTTTCATTTCATTTTACTGTGCTGCGCTCAATCTTGAAGCGAATGATAAATTATTGGAGAAAATTAGAATCGGAACAGATTATAATAAATATGTTTGTATTTTCATTTATTATTAACTTACATTGGCAATACGTTTTCCACTCTTTTGCTCGTTCTTCATGCGAGCAAAGGTGTGATAATATGAGGCCACATATGTAAGAATGGATTTTTCATCGGGTCGTGCAGAATCAACATCTTCGGCATCCAATAGACTAGAAAATAGGAAATAAATAAAAATTATTGGTTTTGTCTTCTAATTTATTAATGCAAATATTTTCTTACCTTGGTATACCCAATTCGGAGGCGGCCAAATCAAAGGCATGATTCAAATTATCGATATTTGAATTTTTCGAATTAACAATTGTGCTGTACTCAAACAAATCGGGACGGTGCGAATGGATCAAAGCATTGAAACCCAAACCGGAACGCCATGAGGAGGTAAAATCTTGTATATTAACACCGGGATAACCGTGAGTTTTACGCTGACACCATAACAATAGAGCATCTTTGGCAGAACGTTTTTCAGACGATTCGTTTTCCTCGTCCTGTGGAAGAGAAGAAAAATATAAATATTTTACTAAATATGATATTCAATTAAAATAATAACAGACTATAGGTTTTTTATGTTAGGTGGCCTATGGCAGCATATTCGACCTAAATAAAGACAACTTAATTAAGGGGACCCCAGCCATTCTCGATTTCAAATTTCGACGAGTTACAACCGGCTGGAAAATGAGCATACATTAGGTATTAAATGTTTAAATTTACATATTTTTGACCTGCAAAACTAACACGAAAATCTAACTTTCTTCGGTTCTATATTCTGAGCCTGGCAATATTTCGTGATATTTGCAGCCTCCTGACCGATTATAGGTCAACAGCTCTATTTTATAACCATAGCTCTATTGGTCACCTTAAACCGATCATCATCTAAACAACTGTTCTAAATATTTGGCTAGATCACCTTCATCGTTTAAAATATTAATAGGAAAATCTGAAAAAAGGGAGGGCAATGAACCGAACATTGCCCTCCCTAAATATCATTCCAACATTACCGAATATTATAGGCATCGTCTTTGATCATAACCGGAATTTCATGTAAAAGCGATCTACTGGGGTAATTAAATATGTACGTATTACTTTAATATCCGAGTACATACACCAATATAATTGGTATCAATTTAAAGGTCAACCACTCCAAACCTATCGGACCTATGTCCTTCAGGAGTTAATATATAAATATTCAAACAAAAGTCTGGGTTCATTTGACCCGCTAAATATTGACTCATCTTTATCAAAACACGCATTCTTTGGACTGATCCCCTTCTCTATGTAAAATTTTGTGATGTTCGGGTCATAATCTGGCCTCTGCAGCGACCAGAAAAACGGACAAAAATTAAGTACTTGGTCCACTTCATCCTCTATATATTAACCCGAATAGTGCTGTAATTATTTTTTTCGAATTGTGGGACGAAACTTTCAGCGTCTCTGGATTGTGGGCCACAGAATTCAAACATTTGATTTGTATCCTTTTTTCTTATCAGGATCAATTTTTGGGCGGTGGCCGTATTTTCACACATGTTAAAAGACAGGGGTCTTCTTTGGCCAGAACCTGACCTACATGCAAAATTTGGTGAAGATTGATCCATAACTGTTGCCTGTATCGGACTTACAAAAAGTATGACGATCGGTATACTTAAAGGTGGGGATGCAGATAGTTGTGTAGGATATAAAAATCGATTTTAACCAAGGTCTCCTTAACGCTTGGGACAGAAATATATTCGAGATATTCATAGGACCATATATAGACTTTGAAAAGAACTGTCAATGGGGATCTGCACAATCATGACCTTTCCAATATATTGAAGACCTTAAGGTAATTTTTTTTATTAGACCTCGTACGTAGATTCCTTAAATTAAATATTTTTTTAATGTCACATTACTTACCACATCAATTTCAATTTCTTGAATTTGAAACCGCAAAATTATGGTCCAAATCAAACCTAAAATTAAACGGGGATTGCCATCGACAATGTCCTCAGCACCAATGGATTCCAAACGGACCTAAAAATACAAAAGAAAAAAATAAATTATTATTAAAAAAAAAAAAAAAATAATTTCATATATTTTTAAATAAATATCTTGATATATTTTTTGGTCATGTAAAAAATAAATCTTAAAGTACATTTTTTGGTTTTTAAATAATGTTATGTTTGTATGTTAGCTTGTAATTTGCAAATATTTGTTAGCCAAATATTGTTTGTTTGGATTTCGACAATTCACTCCCACAAAAAAAAAGAAACAAGTTTGACAACACCTGTTGCTGTTGAATTCAGCTAAATTTATTTTTTTGGGGTTGGGGTGTCCTCTGTAGTGAGTTTGTCTATGTGTCAGTCATGTCTGTTTGTCCACAACTTGTATATGACCTAAGGTGAATAAAAATAATAAAAAAAGATATTTTGCGTGAGCCCGTTTGACGTTGACGGGGCGGTTGGTATGGGCAAATAGCACCACAGTTACGTGGGGTATGCAAGCCTCCGCCACATGTCTCATTGTTAACTTTTTTGGAAAAGAAGTGCAGCAATCATTTTTTCATCGTTGATATGCATCTCAGGTTTTCGTGAATTATAGCCTTTTTTATGTTACGTGTAAGTATGTATGTACATATGTCGCGAAGAAAGCACACACACTCAAGTAAATATGTTCCATTTCCATTAGCTGCATATCAAGTCGTCATTGATGGACGAGCCAAACATATGCGGATCGGTGAGATTTGTAACACAAACCTTATTTGTTTTCATTTGAGTTGTAAATGATTTTCTCTTTATTGAGAGATATTGATTTATATATACGTACAAATATGTATGTACATATATTTCTACAGAATACCATAAATCTTAAAGTGGACATTTAATATATCTAAAATCTATTGGGACTTTTATAAGGGGAGATGAATACTGAACAGGTTGAAACATTGAGCTTAAATACCGAAAAATTGGGTCCCATAAAATGGGGGACTACAAATCGTGAACCGATATTAATAACCTGTGGTAGAAACATTTGCCGCCTAATGAGAACATGAATTAACAAATTAGGCCCATTTTTCTTTTAAGAATATGCTCAAAATCTTCAAAATAGCAAAATAGCGAAGTGTCGGTATATATCCTGTACCCTGAAACTTGAACCAATATTGGTAATTTTTGGTATGGAGATTTTCTATCCACTGAGATTCCAAAGAATAAAATTGCAGATAATTTGTTTGAAAAAAATGCGAACAAACTCCGCAAAAATTACAAAATCTGAGAGGTAGCCTTAAATGGGGGCTATGGGGGGTCCCAATCCCATTCCGGGTTTACAAAAAATTTATTTTTTTATTTCATATGGCCCTATAACTTCTCAAGAATGTCGCTATAAAATTTCAAGTGAAAATCATAAGAACTCTTGAAGATATATCCGACTTATTGTGTCAGAATCAAGCGACGACAACAGTCTTTCTCAAAATGTAAACGAGTTTTTCTCGAAACAGTTTTTCTTCAAAAACTATAAATTCTATCGGTTCCAAATTTTATCACGTTATTCTTGACCTACATAGCTATCGAATCTGTAAAGGATTTCCCAATTTTGTGCTCGAAAACAAGAGATTTCCAAAAATATAATTATCCTAGATCCGCCATTTTGCTAATTTCCGAGCGAAGTCAATGATCGTAGTTCATATCAGAGTCAGATATGTAGTATTTTTAATTACATTGAAATTTTGCAGCCCTTATATGGGTATCATGTCAAAACATGGACCTAAATTGAAAGCTTACTGCGCAGAACACGAAATGTCTAATTACTGCCACATCGGTCGAAAAAAGGCTTTTATGGCCATGAAAATAGCTAACATGGGGCGGAACCTTAATTGAAAGATACCGACCAAGAACCTGAGATGTCAAATTACTGCCCCTTTTTTGTACGGGGCCGATACGTTTATATGGATAATATGTCGGATCTTGGATCTATATTGAATATTTCTGAGAACGTTTTTTTTATTTACCAAGGATTATGCATAATTACTATTAAAATACGGGGAATGGCGTGGAGGAGGATATATCCGAACATGGACCTATAGTGAACATTTTTTGTGGAGATATTTCTAACCTAGCAATTACACAAAATTTCAATTTACCTACCACTATTAAAAAATACATAATATGTGGGCTATGACAGAAAATACACCTATATTGAATTTTTTGATAAGGTGTTTACCTACAAAGTTCACGGAATGCAAATTGTGGCCACTTCAGTTGGAAAATCCACCTCGGGACATCAGCATACTAAAATTGGGGAGGGAAATTTATATGAAAAGCTATACCAAAACATGGGAAAATGCGCCTAAGACCATTAAAATCCGAAAATGGCGCGGAAAGCTTATATGGAGGATATATCCGAACATTATCTACCAATTTCGGATTATCAAAGTATTAAAATGGGTTGGGAACCTGAAATAGGGGCTATGTCAGAAAATGGATATTGTTTTTTTTTTTTGACGAGGTATTTGAAAAATCCGCCTAGGAACATCATAATACTAAAATTGAATCGAGGCCTTTATATGAGAGCTATGCAAAAACGTCTATAAAAATATACATTATATCTGAAATTTATTACCCACTGATACATGGATCTAATTACTATATTTTGATAGTGTTACTAATAATTTTTCTTCAAAATGTTTTCTTTATCTAAAAATAGAATTAATTTTGGTGCACTATTAAGATTCGTCTTAAATTTCAATATTAGACTCAAAATTTACTCTCAAATGAATCTCTCTAACTCATAACCTAATAATAACAATTGTTAATTAGTAGTACAACTAGGCACTTGCTTAATGTTATACATAACATACGTACATACATGTATAATAGTTGCATACTACTACTACAACGAATATATGTGTATCGGGACAAGTTTATATAAATTTGTTAGTGATTTCACAGCAAGTGCATTCGTCCGATCGTCATCACGATCATCAACGTTGTTACTGTTTGTATGTTATCTCCATCCACCATATGAGTGTAACAGCGGAAAAGTGAAAGTTTTCTCTTTTCTTTTCTTGTTTTTCTTCATATTTCTATATATGCCATTCCGTCCACAAGTCCAAATAAAATCTAACAAAATATGCAACATCATATCCATATATCACACTTAACTGATGTGTGTTTTTGTGTGAGTGTGTATGTACCAAAAACAACAACACAACGTATGTACTTATACGTCATTGTGTTCATTGTTCGGAGTACGGTGTTGATGATGATGACGATGATGGATCAGTTTTAATGATCACCAGTTATTTGCCTTATATATCGTATTCACTTTGTGTGACATGAAAGTGAATATTATGGCGTTTAAACACGCACCCCCAAAGTGCAGCAACAAAAATGCAGTTATAAAGTGAATGTTGTTGTTTTTCTACTCATATTTTTTTGTCTAGTGAGTTAGTTTGTATATAATTAGAAGATAAATCTGTCTAGTACTTGGGAGACCTTATTAATGGATTCTATTGGGACAGAAACAGACAGGTGTGAGGGTCTTTCGTATACAACCAATTTATTTGTATGAGGTAGAGAGTATAAATTAAATTTGTCATTCCGCCGTTTGCAATCCCTCGAAATATTCACCTGAGATCATATAAAGTTTATATATTCTTGATCAGAATAAAGCAGGCGATATATCGCTTCGGGATTTCGACCGCAAACGGTAGCCCCTAATTTTAAAGTTTTTTTGTGCACACATTTTCAACCTAATCAGCTGTAATTTGGTAGATACAAAATGTTCCTTGACCGCATTCACTAGAATGGCGTCTTCTTTTTATTTCATCATCATTCTTCCTTCGTTACATATGAATCTTATGATCTAATTGATAGTCGGTAATTTATTACATGGTTGTATTTTGACAATTATGTCAATCTAAACAAATCTACTACAGCTTGGCCAACCTGACGGTTGTGACCGACCCGGTCACCCACGAATTATACTACTTACATTCTACTATACACAATACAATTCAATATTGGTAAGATCAGCCCTAGGTGCCCCTACGCGAGTCTTCAGATTTCCAAGGCCTTATATTGCAGGCTTCGATTACACTATCGTAAGGCATTTGTGTGATCTGGCAGTTTTTAATATCTTTTATCACATATCGGTCATTCGGAAGTACTTTGCTTACTACATAAGGGGTCCAAAAAGTTCTCCTCTAGGTATTCTGTTAACTTATCAATTACTTCCCAAACACTCCAAACAAAACCTTACTTGGCGTATCACCAATTGATCGTATTATTAAATGCAAATTCCACCTTGCTTAAATGTTTGGCCCAGTCCGCATGTGCTACCGGTTTACTGAGTTTTGCTAACATTCCCACCAATGTCCTATTCCCACGTTCAACTTGACCGTTTGCTTGAGTTGAATGTACGGCTACATTCACATGGTCTATATTCCTTTCTGTCAGATACTCTGTAAATTCTTTTGACGTGAAATAACTTCCTCGATCCGAAATATACCAGATAATATTTCCGGTAGCCCTCATACATTGGTACCAACCATATTCGGTATTTTAGGGGGTTTCAGCCTATGGTTTACGGAGGCCATCGAAATTACACACATGTTTTATTATTCGCTTTATATATGGTATATATTGTTGTCAATGAGGTTTCGGATTTAATGTCAAATCAAATCGGTTATTCAATTCGCTTCAAATTAAATAAACAAGTTTATAAAATTTTGACCATTTGTGGGGGAGGTACCAGAAGGAGTTTGATTTTGGCTTGGTAAAAATAATTGGCTGTGGAAAGATTGGTCCAAATCGGATATTCTTCAATTTGATTAATATTGAATTTCTATACATTGAAATTGTTGACTCTTTGTGGGCGAGGTACCACAAGGAGTGGACCGATTGGTCCCATCTTCGATCTTGTTCTAGGCTCGACAATGATAATCGGTTGTCTAAGTTTAATTCAAATGGTCAGCTATTGTATTCATATATATTGAGAATTTTGCCCATTTGTGGGGGAGATACCAGAAGGAGTGG